AAAAAAAACTTTTTTTTCCCCAAATTTTCTGTAATTTTTCCTAATTATAGTAAAAAATAAAAACCCCAGTTGTGATTAAATACCACCGAAATAAAGCTCTATCTGTCCCCAAAAAAATGGTATAAAATTCATTTCAGTACAGCGCTGCATGACGGAATAAACGTCAGTAAATAAAAGTACCGCAGCGCTGAATACTGAAAAATGGCCTGGCCAGGAAGGGGGTCTAAACACCTGGTCTTGAAGTGGTTAAAAAGTTATTTTTGCCCTCATTGTTTACTGAGATAGTGGTTTTGAAAACAAAATGTTTCTTCTGCTTTCATATGTAAAAAAAATGTGTAACAATTTGTAAACCTCTTATAGGTTGACACCATGTTGATCCTCTGTCCTCCCCCGGGGGCGGGGGGGGGTTGACATTTCTCTGTCCTGCAAAGGGCTTATTCTCATCTGCCCTCGATTCTGGAGTATGTTTGGTAAGATACCTCTAACATGCAGATGATCCTGTATTTCTTATTGGACCTATCAGTGGCTGTTGCCCACCCCTCAGCTGAACTGATTTTTCCTGTGTCCCTAAATGGATGATAACAGAATAAAGAAATTTGTACTTAAAATAAACTCTTTTGCTTGAAGTCCATTGAGGGACGCAGGTTCCACTCCTCTGTGTTTTCTTTGGCCCTTTCTATAGCTTTCTCACAAAACTAGGGCATGCTGGGTACAGGAGGGGGTATATGGTGGCTGACTTATAACGTTTTCTGTTTGTGAGTGTCCCAAACTCCTGTAGACAGCAGTATAACCTGACTTTATTAGAATTCCTGTGTCCCTTAGTGGACTTTGAGAAAAGGATTTTACGTTTAGTACAAAAATCTTATTTTTATTTCACGGAAAAGGAGTAAATAGGTTATATAGTGAATAAAGCATGGCTCTTCTGTCTGTGCTCCAGCATATAACTTTGCAGAAGGATAAGCTTTCCCACTTAGCCCTAACATATCAGAAATACAGATCTCTTTGTTCCTTTGCTGGACTGTTACTGCTCTCTACATTTCCACCCCTCCTGTAGTTTCAACAGCTGAGTCAACAAAAAGTGCTTAAATCTTTGAGAGGATATTGTGGTTGAGAAATGTTTTATATCAAGAGACTAAATGCCTATCTTTATAAGCAATGAATCTCTGTACTTTGTAGACTTCCCTAAATAGTGGCTTGATTGACAGCCTTTATAATGTCAAATACTCATCCTTATTGTCATTGTACACTTTAACACAGCTACCATTATAGAACTGAGCTGGGGATATACAACATAATCTATTTGTTCCTTTTCACACATTCACATTTAGAAGTGTAATCGCCTCCCCTTTACCACTACTACCAACAAGCTCAGCAAGATTTCAGTGATTTTCAGTAAAGTTCCCATTAACAGTAAAGAAGATGTACTTAGCAGAACATGCAATCACTTAAAGTTTCTTTGCCATCATTTATTGATGAGATCATTTATATGGCATACACTGTCAGACCATACCTCACATTTTATTCAGATAGGATTAATTGAATGCTGTACAGCAATTATATAAAATAATTATATTT